AAGCAGCAATAATAAGATGAAATAAAACTAGTAATAAAAAATAATAGTAATAATGAAGAGTGTATAGAGCCAGAGTGTTGGGATAAAAAGCAGCAATAATAAGATGAAATAAAACTAGTAATAAAATAATAGTAATAATGAAGAGTGTATAGAGCCAGAGGTTGGGATAAAAAGCAGCAATAATAAGATGAAATAAAACTAGTAATAAAATAATAGTAATAATGAAGAGTGTATAGAGCCAGAGTATTTGGGATAAAAAGCAGCAATAATAAGATGGAATAAAACTAGTAATAAAATAATAGTAGTAATGAAGAGTGTATAGAGCCAGAGTGTTGGGATAAAAAAGCAGCAATAATAAGATGGAATAAAACTAGTAATAAAATAATAGTAATAATGAAGAGTGTATAGAGTCAGAGTATTTGGGATAAAAGCAACAATAATAAGATGGAATAAAACTAGTAATAAAATAATAGTAATAATGAAGAGTGTATAGAGCCAGAGTGTTGGGATAAAAAGCAGCAATAATAAGATGGAATAAAACTAGTAATAAAATAATAGTAGTAATGAAGAGTGTATAGAGTCAGAGTGTTGGGATAAAAAGCAACAATAATAAGATGGAATAAAACTAGTAATAAAAAATAATAGTAATAATGAAGAGTGTATAGAGCCAGAGTGTTGGGATAAAAAGCAGCAATAATAAGATGGAATAAAACTAGTAATAAAAAATAATAGTAGTAATGAAGAGTGTATAGAGCCAGAGTGTTGGGATAAAAAACAGCAATAATAAGATGGAATAAAACTAGTAATAAAATAATAGTAATAATGAAGAGTGTATAGAGTCAGAGTGTTGGGATAAAAGCAACAATAATAAGATGGAATAAAACTAGTAATAAAATAAGAGTAATAATGAAGAGTGTATAGAGCCAGAGTGTTGGGATAAAAAGCAGCAATAATAAGATGAAATAAAACTAGTAATAAAATAATAGTAATAATGAAGAGTGTATAGAGCCAGAGTGTTGGGATAAAAAGCAGCAATAATAAGATGAAATAAAACTAGTAATAAAATAATAGTAATAATGAAGAGTGTATAGAGCCAGAGTGTTGGGATAAAAAGCAGAAAATAATAAGATGGAATAAAACTAGTAATAAAATAATAGTAATAATGAAGAGTGTATAGAGCCAGAGTGTTGGGATAAAAAGCAGCAATAATAAGATGGAATAAAACTAGTAATAAAATAATAGTAATAATGAAGATGTATAGAGAGTGTTGGGATAAAACAACAATAATAAGATGGAATAAAACTAGTAATAAAATAATAGTAATAATGAAGAGTGTATAGAGCCAGAGTGTTGGGATAAAAAGCAACAATAATAAGATGGAATAAAACTAGTAATAAAATAATAGTAATAAGAACACAGTAGTGCTTAATGTTGTCTAGCAGAAAATGTTTTCAGTCTCTTTTAATTCACTAATTTTTATAATAATTTGTATTAATCTGGTTAAATTTAATCATTGAGCGAAAGAGAAAATCTCTCACATTCTATCTTTATGCAGACAGCAGGATATGCTAAATATAAATTATAAAATGTCTTTCATTCATTGAATGACACAGACAATTGTTGTTTATCAAGACATCTAACAAGTTCCTTGTTTGTCTTTATCCGAAAGATAAAAGAAAGAATTTAAAAAAATATGTTGCTAGCTAATTAGTGAAGAATGAAGTGTTGTTTAGTGACAAAAAGAACTAAAAAGATTATCAAGCTGATCTTAATTGCCAAATGACAACAAAAGAGATTTTCTCAATACAAAAATCAAATCCGTCTGAATTTTTGAGATGACAAATAATCATTATCATGTATTTGCATTCCGACTAGCATTCTCATCTTGGTTGTCATACTGAAAATGTTTTTGTTGTTGTACCCTGTTCATGGCAGCAATCTACCTGCATATGAACTGAATAAGGGATTTGGTTTAGTATCCCAAGAATGTTAAAAAGTATGATAGATATGTAAAGTAAGCTGGAGGTTAGAAAAGCAAAAACATGAGTTTAACAAACAAGATGAAATTCATCTGAATATGAAGTTCTAAAATATGAAGGATATCACAGACTCAAAGTTGCAATTGACAGAAATTAAAAAAAAGAAACAAAACAAAAAAAACTGGACTTAAGAGGAAAAAAGAAATGTAACAAAAGAAAATTATACAAAACTATAGCAGTAAAAACAGCAAAAAAAACTTTTAGCCAACATTTATATTCTTGTGTCAAATGCAAACTTTCCACTCATTCATCTCTTCCTCTCTATTCCTCCATTTATCTCTCTCTCTCTCCCTTTTCACCCATTCATCTCTTCCTCTCTATGTCTCCATTCATTTCTCTTCCTCTCTATTCCTCCATTTATCTCTCTCTCCCTCTCCCCACATTCATCTATTCCTCTCTCTGTCTCCATTCATTTCTCTTCCTCTCTCCCCCTCTATTTATCTCTCTCTCCCCCTCTCCAC